TCAATGTCCCCGCCCCCCCCCCCCCCCCCGCCCCGACGCCCCTCAATGCCCCCGTCGACTCCGACGCCACCGCTGCGCAGAGATGCCAGTGCCGTTTCGTCTCGCCGCTTCGTGACACGATCGAGATCACCTCCCGCAGAGCCGCAGGTATATGAGTGAATCAACGATCGACCGCTGCTTCGTCAACCTCCCGAGCCACCCCATGCCCTTCATGGAGACCATTTACGTCGCCGACGACGCCCCCCTCGAGAACGCCAGAGGCCACGATTCGCGACCGCAAGACCATGCACCTCCGCACCCGCCTCCGCAAGCCCAAGCCTGCCACCGGGCGTGGCATCCCCGCCTACATCTTCGACGCGGGCCACTACAAGCCCCACGCCAAAAAGATCCTCGCCACCATCCACATGACGCCGCTCACTCCGATTGCTAGATGGCGCACTCTCAAGGCCACGATGCAAGTCGCAGCCGCACGCGCACCCGATGCGCTCACCAAGATTCCCGCCGCCGTGCTGAAGTCCCAGACTGCGCGCGTCTCCAAGGAGACCCGCGCCACGACGTTGCGCAGCATCGCCCGCGCGGTCTGGCGCCAGAACGCCCCTCTCGCGAAGACGCTGATCGAGAACGCCGAGATCGGGCTCACTGGGCCCCAGTGTTCGCCGAGAAGCACGTGGACGAGAAGCGCCTTGCCGACCGCCTCAACTCTGCCCCCCCCCCCCCGGCGCCAGCGAGCAGATCTGTCGTTCCCCGACGCGCGAGCTCTTGGGAAGCCAGCACGCCGTGCTAGGGATTCAGCCCCTGGCCCCGACGGCCCCCCATACCGAGCGCGGCTCCGCGCGCCCGCCAGCTCCGACGCCCTCGCCGAAGCATGCTACGACATCGCCGCCAATCACAACACCCCGCACGACCTGAACTACTCTCTCATGGCCACGTTGCGAGAGGCGACGAGCCATCAGGCAACGCTGAGCGCGCGCGCCCCCCCGATTGCCTTCGTCCGTTTTCAATGAAGAAATCGGACGTGAAGCTGCTGGCGCCCGCCGCCAACCGCCAGCTCCACGCCCTTGCAGCCCAGACGCCCCCCGAGCAGCAGGGCTTCGTCAACGGCCGCCAGTTTCTGAACAACGTCGTCATCGTGGACGCCGCCACGCGTCGACGCTGTCTTTCCCCTCTCAGCCAGCCTCCCCAGACATGCCCGTCTTCGCCAGCATGGACATCGCAGCCGCGTTCCCCAGCCTCGGCCACCAGTGGATGTGGAACGTTCTGGAGCTCTGGGGCATCCACGGCTCCAGGCATGCTACTTCTGGCCCATCTCGTTCCTCGACTTGGGAAGAGACCGTCGCCCACCCCTGATCGCTGCGCCTGGCGTTGCTCAGGGGTGCCCTATTGAGCGGCGCGATGTGGGCGCTCGTTTCGACCCCATCATCACCGCCATCAGCCGCGAGCTCAGCGCCATCCACCGCGGGCCCATCAGCGCCTGCGCCGACGACCTCGGCATCATCCTCGCCAGGCTGGCCGACATCAGCGCGCTCGCCCCCCCACGCGATCGCAGCCGAGACCCTAGCAGGCTTCCAGCTACAGGCCAAGACGCGTTTGTCGCCCCGACTTTGGCCCTCCCGTCGCAAGACCTCGCAGCCGAGATGCGACGCGCCCTCGCGGCTGCTCACGCCCCATGGTTCAACTTCAAGATCGAGCCCAAAGCCCGCCACCTTGGCTTCTACGCGGGCCCAGGCGCCACGCTTGCTGACCAATGGCGTGGCCCCGCAGTGAAGTGGTGGGACCGCGCGGAGAAGCTCGCCGCCTCGCACGCCCCCACCCAGCAAAACATCAAGCTGTACAACGTCGCCGCCGTCATGCGCCTGGGCTACGTCGGCCAGCTCCTCGAACCGCCCGATGGCGCCCTGCAGGGGGCTGCAGGCCATCAACAAGCTGCTGCGCTTCGCCCCTCCAGCGTCGCCAAGTCCGACGTCCTCGCGACGTCGCTCTGGACGAACGCGGAGGCCCCCATCGGCATCGGGAACTACCTGGCCGCCACTCTCCGGAGAACGGCGTCTACCACTGTGACAGAGTGGAGACGCACATCTCGCGAACTTTGCGACGCCGCCTACGACCAGCTTCCCGTCACCACTGCACTGCAAGGCGCGCGGTGCAGCGATTGCTGGGAGATCAAGACCGCCATCGTCCAGCGCTTCGAGGCCGTCATCAAGTCGACCCTCTTCGCCGACTGTAAAGGATCACATCTCAAGCGCCTGATGCGCACTGCTGGGCCCCGACCCCGCGCGCGAGCCGCCATGCTCGCCAGCCACAAGCGCGCCGCCAGAGCAGGACACCAAGCCATCCTTCAACGCCACGCCCCTCGCGCATCTCAACAACCCGATCGCCATCGACATCGCAATATTGCCAAGACCACGCCGCAGAAAGCCTACATGAAGTCGCTGAACGAGCGGCTCTACGTCGACACCATGCCCGACACCATCAAGCGCCGCCTGATCGCGCGGCACCTTACGCTGGACCCCGCTCGCCAACTTACACGAGGACCGCCATCTGGACCGCGACGCGAAGCTGAACGAGCCCAAGAGCGCCTTCTGAACAGGGCGCGCTCATGGGCCGCGCACTGGCTGCCTGACCTGATGAGCGACCGAAGCATCAACGACCGAGAAGACTGGACGCAGTGGTGCGTCACCTACTTGTGC